TGAAGTCTAATTTCTCTCTCCCCCCATAGCCTGATAACATGTAGATTGAGCTTACCAACAAATCATTTAAGGGCAGTCTAATGAAAAAATAGCCTTTTCAATATTGAATTAGACACTATCAGAGACAAAGATATTGACCTAGCAAAAGTTTGTCCCTTTCATTAAAACAAACTTCTCTATAACTCTAATCCTAGAGAAGCTTGTTTTAATGAAAGGGACAAACTTTTGCTAGGTCAATATCTTTGTCTCTGATAGTGTCTAATTCAATATTGAAAAGGCTATTTTTTCATTTCACTGCCCCTTAAATGATTTGTTGGTAAGCTCAATCTACATGTTATCAAGCTATGAATATTTAATCCTTACCGGGGAGGGGGAGAAATTAGACTTCACATAACCTTCTATAGTTCTACTTCACTCCAATAGCATCCATTTACAGATGGACATGCGAGTTTAGATACTTTGACCTCTGCCATATAGCACAACATATGTAAGAAAAAAGTAATATGAAATGAATGAGTGCAAAGCACAACAAATTTTCTAGTTTAACTTATGTACATCATAAAGCTAGAAGGAGCTGGAGTATTTCTTTTCTCAATATTTTCCCAACCTAATTTTGTTGAGAGATTGGAACTCTAATCAAAGAAATAAATATAGGAATTTTTAGTGGTAGGTACCATATATAGGACTTAACCACTTGATCCTATTTATATTCGTTTTAACCCTAAAAGTTCCAATTTTTTATTTTTTTTGGTGTCATATCCATGATGTGCTTGTATCCTAATTTTTTTAAAATCGCCGTGTAACGTGTCAATGCCCATGACCATGTATGTGCTTCTTAGGACTTAACCTATTACTACAAGCAAGCTTTATCTGAGTGCTGGAACTGAGCGAATAAGACAACTAAGTATACCAGTGAGAACATAAACAATGGCACAAAATGGGAGAGCCTTAGGTTCCTCTGCTGAGAATGTTATTGTTCCCAATCATTCTACTTTTTAATTGTAATTCTTTAAATTAGTGTCAAATTCAACACGTGAATAGGATACTACAAGATCATTTTGGCCCTGTGCTAAACGTCTAGAAGATATAGTTTCACAACTTTTGAGGGTAGTACATATTAACTTGAAGAACTAGAATAAGATGATCACATAATGACAAGTGAGACATAGAGACAAATTTGCAAAGGCAATTGAAAATTACACAAGAAGTTTCATTACCCACTCCAAGATAATTAAACACCAAAATGCCCCATATAATGAAGTTTTTCCAAAGTTGACATACCACCAATGATCGAACACAGAACAATGGAAGCCATCTCCAGATCAACATGATTGCAGTCACAAACAAGTACATCAAAGAGAGCACTTGGAAATTTAATGGCAGCTCTTTCAATTACATATCCAATTGGCAGTACAACGCCAAGCGAGACAGTCACATATGCATTAGATCAAACACCTTGTATACACAGAACAGAACCCAATAAAACAAACTATTCAAACAACAATTCATTGTTAAGAAAAGTCATGGGGAAGTCTTTGCTCGCACTTTGGAGGGTTGTGGATGCAAAACCACTGTGTGAACCCATGGATTTGGGCTGCATTATCCGAGAAGAGTGAGTTTTATTAGGAATGAATGAGGACCCAGAACTCTAATGGGTAGTGGGGGTTGGAAGAAGTTTCAGTGGCTATATATGAGATTTGAATGGTGGATCGAGAGAGAGAGAGAGAACTTCAGGGAATCGCGGAGGCGCTGGCTATATAGACATGCCATTGGTTCCAAAGAAGATCACACACTCTCTCTCTCTCTGTGGCCTCAACGTTGAGACCAAATTCGCGGGAAATTCAAAAGTTGCGGTTATATTAGTTCCCCTCGTGGCGGTAGGTACACCAAAATTTATTACTTAAAAAAATAAAATTCTCACTATCTTAAAAAAAAAAAAAAAAAATGTACTATACTAATTATGACAATATAATTACCGCACTTATTATATAAATTACAAATATAAAAAACTTTTTAAATTATGTTACAACTCTAGCTATGACATTATTATTGACCTCGCTCATTATACAAATTACAAATATCAAAAATCTCTTAAATTATGTCACATCATCAATTAGTACACTTGTTAATACCTTAATCCGTGCATATAGCATTATTCAAAAAAAAATCTTGTATATTTATTTGATTAATTAATCTTGGAAAATTTTCAATTCAATTTAAATTTTATAAATATTAATTATTAAAGTCATAATTTGTACCGTAGTAATTTTTTAAAAATATCACCACGTGGTAATTTCCCCTTTTATTTTTGGAGTTCACAAGCCGAAGGTTCACTGTTCAAACGAACAAACAAACAAAAAGCCAAGGTTCAATTCTAAATATTTTGGGCCAATAGGTCCAAGATGTATTATTTTGAAACTAAAATGACAATTATAATTTAAATCTCATTTTATTCTTATTTATTTGTCTATTTATCTACGTGTCATCTCACTATTTGCCTATATGTCATCTATCTGTCCACCTAAACAATTTATCTGTGCAAATCATCACCACTACCATCACTGCCACAATTGGCCACAATCGTCAATTTTTCCAATACTGGTGACTTTTTCAATGACCTGCGACGGTCTGACAAGAAGGGTACAATTGGAAAAGAAAATTCAAAAAAAATAATGTTTCGAGAAATTCTATTTCCACACATTACTTCTTCTCTTTCCACATCTTTTCTCAATACACACATTAAATAAATTAAAATTATTAACTTTCACTCAATACACATCCTACCATATCAAAAATATCCTTATCATCTTCATCCTCCAAACCCTAACATCAATAAGCCACCACCGCTTTTATTTTTTCAAGGTAACTAGTATTGAGTTTTATCATCTACGGATGACATAAATATTTTTTTTTATTACATCTATGTAAATTGACAATGCCTCTTACAATTGAAAGAAATTAAAATCTACATAACCATTCAAGATTCCATTTCAAGAAAATAAATTTTGAAAAATTACTCAGATCAAGGTAGTGTGTACTTTAGTTAACTCACCACCATCACCAAGGGAGAAACAAATATAATGGTGAGAGCACCCATGATGAGCAACGAATTCGTAATGGGATGTAGCATTGGCACCCCACCATAGCAAATATTTGCAGTTTTTGATACAGGAAGCTTTGTGATATGTGCTGCAATTAGAATCAATTCGCAGCAATTTATAACCGAGAAAAATCATCAATGGTGATGGTGGAAATTGATGGTTTAAGAGAGTTAGAGCTAAGGTTTTGAGAAAATGATATTTTGATAATTTAATTTTAGGATAAAAATGTAATTTAAAAAAAAATCATTAAGTGTGTGGAAAGAGAGGAAGTAGTGTGTGGAAATAGAATTTCCCTAATTTTTCATTTCAATTTTTTAGAAATTGACTTTTTATTTTCGTAATTTTTTGTTTTTAGTGAATATTTTTAAAATTTTAAATAATTTTTTTTACTTTTTTAAATGCACCTTACTTAGGTGTATCTAAAAAGTAAAATATTTTTAAAAATTAATAAATACATAGGAGTACAAAAAATGTTCTAAATTTTCATTTATTTATTTATTTATTTGTATATTTGGCTTTTTAAACTTTTTTTTGGTAAATTTTTTTGACTACCTTTTTAGATTAGACGAACCCCCCAAAAAAATTTAAAATTATTAAAAACAAACAAGTTCAAAAAAAAAAAGAGATTTTTTAAGCTGGATGCCAAACAAATACTAAAGCCAATTTTTGGAAGTTGATATTTTAGCCAAAAAATTATTGCAAAAAAATCAACTATTCAATCTACTTTCTTACACTTCTTTTCATAAAAAATAAAAAATATAGTAAAAAAGGGCAATCCTCAACAAAAAATAAAAAATAAGTTCACTCAAATTGTCATATTGAAATATTTTTTAAAACAAATAAAATTTTGTCAATGTGGCAATCATCTTCAATGGTAAAATAAATTTTATAAAACAAATACATTTTTTTAATTTTGGAAGAAAAAAAATAATAATTAAGAAAATTGATAAGTCATTAATTGATATGGGGAAAAAGCTCAACTTGATCACCAACTTCACTACAATTAAATTGAGATGCGTTTTACATTTGCACACATGCCCTGTTATTATCACAAAATTCTTAATCACATAATTTTTTTCTATAAAAGAGTAGATAGAAAAAATAAAAATAAAAACTTTAATACAATCAATCTAAAATATATGTTTAAAACAATTTTTTCTTTTTTCACGTTTTGGTGTATGATTCAATGCGAGAGTTATATATTATATACAATACAAATTAGAATATTTGAATTGTGATTCTTACTCAAACTCTAATTGATTTAATTTGAGTTGGTAAATTTTTTCCTTTAGGCCTATTTTGAAAAGTTGATTTTTTAGTCAAAGAACTAAAAAGTACTCCAAAAAAAAGTTACTAAAAAATTTAATTTTCAAAACAATCCTTTGTCCCGACCAAATTTAAAATAGTCCAAAGGCCATAAAATTTTACAAACTTAAATTACTTAAGACTATAAAATTTTACGAATTTCAATTACTTAAATGTTAATAAATATGCTTATTATATATCTTAAAATTTAAAATAAAAGTAATTTTATAATCTATAAATTTATAAAAATATTAATATATATATATATATATCCACATCATTTTCATAAAATTTTACAAACTTAAATTACTTAAATTGGCCCACACATTGCACCTCAACAGGTTTATGACCTAAAAATTCATACAATGTTAATAAATATCCTTATCATATATCTTAAAATTTAAAAATAAAAATAGTTTTATTATCTAAAATTTATAAAAATATTAATATATATCATTTTCATATATATTTAACCGTGCATAACACACTGGTTGAATGCTAGTAAATATATATAACTATTCATTTCATAGCGTTGACATAAATATATAATTTTTTACACAAATTAAAAAAATTTAATAAATATGCATAAATATGTTCATATTTTTGTTATAAAAAATAATTACAAATAAATCAAATCGTAGTTTAGGAAAGTCGGAAGTTAACCCTTATGTATTAACATAGAATTCCAATCCAAACTAAATTAAAAGTCTGGAGCTAATAGTATCCTCTAAGGATTCAACTCTTTAGAATCCTTATATATATAGATTACAGTAAACATTATCACTCATCAGCAAATTCTAGAGAGTGAAGTATGTTTCTTTGAGAGTGAAAGAGAGAGTTTTGCAGAGAGAGAGAGAGAGTTTTCTTGGAGTGTAATGATGTGGAGGAGAGGGAAAATACTGGGAAAGGGAGGTTCTGCAATGGTGTATCTGGCTGCAGTTGTTTCACCACCAAGAAGTAATGAACTACTACCTTCTCTCATGGCTGCCAAATCTGCCCCTGTCAACAACTCCCAATTGCTTTCCATCGAAAGAGAGTTGTTCAGTCAGTTTGAAGGATGTCCTCACATTCTTCGCTGTTTTGGGGACGACGTTACGATCGAAGACGGAGAGCAATGGTACAACATCTTGTTGGAGTATGCCGCTGGTGGAAGTTTGGCTGATCGCATTCAGAGTTACGGCAGAGGACTACCCGAGACAGAGGTCAGACAATACACAAACTCTGTACTTCTGGGTCTGAGTTACATTCACAACAAGGGTTATGTTCACTGTGATATCAAGCCTCATAATATACTGCTTGTGGATGAAAAGGATGACTTGTCAATCGATTTGAATGGAAAGATGAATAGGGTCCAAGAAAGAACTGCAAAGATTGCTGACCTAGGGCTTGTAAAGAAGGCTGGAGAGAGGTTGACAGAAAAAGGAAGAAAGCTTGGAATCAGAGGCACTGCACTGTATATGGCCCCGGAGTCCATTCGCCATGAAGATTATGAACCAGAAGCAGACATATGGGCATTAGGGTGCACGATTTTAGAGCTATTGACTGGAAAAGAACCTTGGAAGTGCGACCGGAATACAGAAAGAGTAACTATCTTGTTTAAAATAGCAAGTACACAAGAAATACCTGAAATTCCGAGTGGGTTCTCAGAAGAGGCGGAAGATTTTCTGAAGAAGTGCTTGGTTAGGGATCCGAAGTCACGGTGGACTGCCGATATGCTCCTAGGCCATCCCTTTGTTTTGGCTGCAGATGGCGTTTTCACCGGGAGTATCAGAGAGGAAAGAAACAGAGTTGTTCATCCAAAAACAGCATAAGGTATTCTTCATTCATCATTCTTGAGTACATTCAATCTTCCCAAACCTTATTTGCTCACGTCACATTTAGCATCAAATGGATATGTACCTTATAGTTGCATGGCCACAAGACATTCGGATGATATTGTTTCTGAAGACTTCACGCTTGTAAAGTGCAGAAAAGATTAGAGGAAGATGCCAAAGAAGGGCTGTCTACAAGAAGTTTTTGACTGGATGCCTTTGGAGCGGAATGGGGTATCAAGAGGATTTCAGAGATACCAAACTCCAACATTGCCATTGAGATTTTCAATTGAGGTTAATGGAGCGCGATTGTTGTTGCTTCAAGTCATCTGTTCTGAGTATGTCTCAAACTCGACCCGGATAATCCTATGTATAAAGAGGTTGTAGTGAGAGGGAGGGCTCATTGTATTCTCTACATTCATAGTGAAACTCCTCTGCCCTTTTTCGCCCGTGGACGTAGGCTTATAGCCGAACCACGTAAATCATTGTGTGCCTGTGTGATTGTTTTGTTTTATATTTTCTCAATTTAGTTTCATCATAAAATCACTAAGTAATATCTAATTGAAGCATAGGCTTTCAAACAAAAATAAACCCTTACTTATAATCAAATCAACCAATTCCAATTTCCCAAGTTCAATACTTAGGAAAATTAAATCATCCCTAACTCTCCACAATGACCACAACATAGCAAAAAAATGGTTTTCTAACTAATTCTTTCTAAATTTGTGTAACTCTACCGCACAGGGCATACCACTCACTAATTATTCATATGGGAAAAAGTCTCGTGTGTCCCTTTCTCACACATTCCAAAAATGGCATGATACTTTCTTTGCAAGATGTCCTACAATATTACTTGTAAAAACTAAACTATTTTAATAAAACTCAACGAGCATCTGGCAATTAATAAAAGATTTGAGTGTGAACTCAAACATAATGAAAGCCATGATTCAATCAAATGAGGAAAAGCGGGGAGAAAGAATAATTTTAAAAGATATCCATCACAACATGCCCTTAAACTTATTTCATCACCACAGATCAGATATAATAAAATGGAGTGAGTTTCCACCACCAATGGAAATTTGAAATGATCCATTGGGAATTTTTAGCATTAGAATGGACAACAAGGTGGTGCACTGTTGGGTGGAATTGAAATAAAAAACAAACGTAAAACAGAATATAAGTCGAAAAATTTTCTATAAATTGTCTGCTCGATCGGTATTTTATCACTTTCAATATTTTTAGTCCTGCAATGATATTATAATGATGATGACATCATCGCCATATTATTTGAATATCTAGTTTCTAGAATTTGCATTTTTTGTTCATAACCTAGGCTTGGAGTTAAAAAGGAACTAAATCCTACATATTGAAGCATCCACAGTGATTCATCATTGTCTATAAATTCCTCTATTTCTATGTTTTCTACTATTAATTGTTCACTCAAAGTATTTCAAATCTTGCTTGTACCAGTTATGCTCTTAATATAGTGTACTAGGATTCGGATTATGGAGAAGCTTGTTTCAATAGAAAGGGCATACTTATGTAGGTCAATATCTTTGTCTCTGATTGTGTCTTATTCAATATTGAAAAGGCTACTTTTTCACTTCACTGCCCTTAGTATCATTTGTCGGTAACCTCAATCTACATGCTATCAAGGCTATGAATATTTAATCCTTACTAGAAGGAGGGGGTGAAAAATTAGGCTGTGTTTGGATAGATTTTCAAACTATAATTCCACCCCTACACATGAATAGGATACTACAAGATCATTTCGGCACTGTGTTAAACGTCTAGAAGATATAGCTTCAATACTTTTGAGGGTAGTACATATTAACTTGAAGAACTAGAATAAGATGATCACATAATGACAAGTGAGATATAGAGACAAATTTGCAAAGACAATTGAAAATTACACAAGAAGTTTCATTACCCACTCCAAGATAATTAAACACCAAAATGCACCATATAATGAAGTTTTTCCAAAGTTGACATACCACCAATGATCGAACACAGAACAATGGAAGCCATCTCCAGATCAACATGATTGCAGGTACAAACAAGTTCATCAAAGAGAGCACTTGGGAATTTAATGGCAGCTCTTTCAATTACATATCCAATTGACAGTACAACGCCAAGCGAGACAGTCACATATGCATTACATCAAACACCTTGTATACGCACAGAACAGAACCCAATAAAACAAACTATACAAACAACAATTCAATGTTAAGAAAAGTCATGGGGAATTCTTTGCTCACACTTTGGAGGGTTGTTGAAGCAAAACTACTGTGTGAACCCATGGATTGGGGCTGCATTATCCGAGAAGAGTGAGTTTTATTAGGAATGAATGAGGACCCAGAACTCTAATGGGTAGTGGGGGTTGGAAGAAGTTTCAGTGGCTATACATGAGATTTGAATGGTCGATCGAGAGAGAGAGAGAGAGAACTCCGGGGAATCGCGGAGGCGCTGGCTATATAGACATGCCATTGGTTCCAAAGAAGATGACACACTCTCTCCCTCTCTCTCTCTCTAGCCTCAATGTTGAAACCAAATTCGCGGGAAATTCAAAAGTTGCGGTTATACAGTTCCCCTCGTGGCGGTAGGTACACCAAATTTATTACTTAAAAAAAAAAATTTCTCACTATCTAAAAAAAATGGGAGTAGTAAATATACCAATTAGTGTACTAACTAATATATTAATACTAGTTATGACATTAATATCTCACTCATTATACAAATTATAAATATTAAAAACCTCTTAAATTATGTCACAACACTAATTATAACATTATTATTAACCCTACTCATTATACAAATTACAAATATTAAAAACTTCTTAAATTATGTCACACCATTAATTGGTACACTAGTTAGTACATTAATTCGTGCATATAGTATTATTCAAAAAAAAAATCTTGTATATTTATTCTATTAATTAATCTTGGAAAATTTTCGATTCAATTTTAATTTTATAAATATTAATTATTAAAGTCATAATTTGTTTCCTAGTAATTTTTTAAAAATATCACCATGTGGTAATTTTCCCTTTTATTTTTGGAGTTCTCAAGGCAAAGGTTCACTGTTCAATCAAAAAAACAAACAAACAAACAAAAACCCAAAGGTTCAATTCTAAATATTTTACGCCAATAGGTCCAAGATGTATTATTTTGAAACTAAAATGACAATTATAATTTAAATATTATTTTATTCTTATTTATTTATCTACGTATCATCTCATTATTTGCATATATGCCATCTATTTGTCCACTTAAACAAATTATCTATGCATTAATCACAACTACCATCACTGCCACAGTTGGCCACAATCAGCAATTTTTCTAACACTGTTCACTTTTTCAATGACCCGCGACAATAAGAGTACAATTGGAAAAGAAAATTTAAAAAAATAAGTTGTTTCAATTTTCTGAAAATTGACTTCTTTTTTTTTTTGTAATTTTTTGTTTTCAGTGAATATTTTAAAAAATTTAAGCAATTTTTTTACTTTTTTAGATACACCTTACTAAAGTGTATCTAAAAAGTAAAATATTTTTAAAAATCAATAAATACACATGAGTACAAAAAATGTACTGAATTCTCATTTTTTTATTTATTTTGTGTTTTTGGTATTTAGTATATTTTCTAAAGATTTTTTTTAGATGTATTTTAATTTTTAAATGTATTTATGTTGGGTGTATCTAAAAATTAAAAAAATTGTTTAGAATATTAAAAAATCATTAAAAGCAAAAAAAACACAAAAAATAAAAAATTTCAATTTTTTAAAACATAAATCCTGAAAATTCAAACAAAACAAAACAAAACATGTCTTTATTGTTAAAAAGATCAAATATTGGACCAAATAGTATAATGCCCCGTGAATGTGGACTTTTTAACATGAAAAATGTTATAAATTCTAAATTTTTTATCAAATAATTAACCAAATGTCTCACATGATGTGGGGTTTACAAAATTGCGGACCCCACACCCATCTAATATATTTGTTTATTTATTTAGTAAAAAATTTGGTATCCCTAACATTACCTTTTCAACAATTAACTTTTTTTGACATGGGTAAGCATGCCAAAAAAAATAAAAAAAAAATGCTAATCACTCTTCAATATGCTCTTGATTAAAGTTTTATATTCAAATATGTAAAAATATATATAAAAATATTAAATTTTTTTTAACGTTATTTGAACTTTTTTTAACAAGGGAGCAACTTGGCACCAATCCGGAATCGAACTGGACGGTATTATTCAGCCCGTGGGAGTCCACCACAGGTCCCGTTTTGATAATTTGAACTACTCAATGTGTAGAAATCGTCAAGTGCTATTTGCCTGAAAAAAATCACGTTGATCGAATATCAATAGCTATCTCATTGAATCAGTTTTTTTGTCAACTATTAATTTATTCACTGTCCATTTTTTTTATACAAAACTAATTTGATCACATAACTATCGATATCCGATCAACGTGATGTTTTATAAATATATAATACTCGACGAGTTTTACATATTCAACGATTTAGATTATCAAAACAGGACTCATAATGGACTCCCACTAGCTAAATAGCACTGTCTGATCCGATCTCGAACTGGAGGCAAGCTAGATCCTTTAAAAAAAAAAAAAAAAAAAATAGAAGAAAAAGAAAATGCTAATCAATGTTCAGTACCCGTAAAATAGGTCTTGATTTAGGTTGGAATATGTATAAAATAAAACTATATTGCAATATGTAAGAAATACATAAAAATGTGTGTTGGAATTCTAATTTTATTTTATACGTTATTAGAACACGCCTATTGAACCAGTGGCTAGCAAGCTCCACCAAAAATATGTTCCAGAATAAAAATCATGGTCTGTTAAAAATAAATAAATAAATAAATAAAATTATGGTTGTCATGATCCGTATTTGTCCCTATGGATTAAGGTCATAACCGACCAGTAATCATGAGATTACCTATGACCTCAAACGAAATTAAAGATATCTTAAAAGAAATAAAGGAGTCAAAACGGAAGTAGACTTAAAAATTTTGTCCAATGAGCTGTACTTACATGCCATGTCAAAAACATTTCCATATGTGTCATAATAACTCACACCATGAACCAAAATAAACATTTTGAACATCCAAGATCATACAAACATATGGCCAGCTAAACAGAAAGTTTATATACATAATTGATCCAACAGATCTACCAAGATAGCGAAAGAGTAAAACAAAAGAACAAAAACGATGTCTTGTGCGTGAGACGTCTGTGCTGACTCCACAAAACTCAGACTTCTCTTACAACCTTCACTGAGGCTGGGGTTAGACATCTCTGTGCTCACCGACATACATATAAATAAGAGTGAGCAAATGCCTAGTGAATAATACCAAAGTAAAGGGATTAGATAAATGAGATTCACATTAAGTCATATTAAGTACAGCGAACCCGTGAATTTCATATACAAATGGTCTCAAGCCCATTTTATGATTTTGTTGTGCGTGTCAAATGGCCACGGACCCATTTTAGATCCTTATCAAACATATCAAACGGCCTCAGGGACATTGCATAATTTTGTCAAATTTATCAAATGGCCTTGAGCCCAATTCATATCAAACGACCTTGAGCCCATTATTTCCCATATTCATATTTATACGCATTTCATATTCATAATCATGATCACCTTTTTGTTCAAACGGCCTTTGGCCTATTACATTCATATTCAAACGGCTTTTGGCCCATCAAAACATTTTAACGTATCAAACAGCTTCAGGCTCAATTCTCACATATTAAACGTGTCAAACGGTCTCAGGCCCAATTCATATCAAACATATCAAATGGCCTTAAGGCCAGTTCATATCAAACGGCCTTGGGCCCAAATTATGTTCTTCGCAAAGCCTCATACCAACATTAGGCATATCGAATACTCATTCACAATTCAAATCAACAAATCCACGAAACTTGTACAAAAATAGCATTTGGAAAATAACATACTTGAAGATATCTTTACTAAGATATTACTCACAGTGTTCTATTGATGGATTTGCCCCCGTGCTTGACCCTACACATTTCATAACACATTGGGTCACAAGCAATTCAATCCGTTCTTAACTTGTTTATTTTTCTTAGGCCTTTTTTTATTCTTTAAATTCATTTACAAATGCCCAATGCATGCCTAAGAGTGCTTAGAAATGAAAGAGAACGGAAAAAGAAACATGAAATAACTTCTCAAAATTTTAAAAACAGGGCACTCCGCTCGAGCACAGCTTTGGTCGCTCGAGCAGACTGTAAAGCTCTGCAAAAGTACTGGTTGCTTCATTTTCACGTTCGAGCGTAGCTTTTCTCACTCGAGGTAGAACTCAAAGATGTGAGTGGTCGCTCGAGCGTAACTCTTCTGGCTCGAGCTAACATCAATGTCTGCAAAACTTCTGGTTACCTTCATTTTACGTTCCACGCTCGAGTGAAGGTGTCGAATTCTAGAAATTTTAGCTCACTGTGTGAGCTTCAAAACACACATCCAAGGCTAAAATCATACATGACTTATCCAAAAACTTCAAAAACATGTATTTGAACACTAATACTTGATGAATTACATTTTTCATACACAAAACTTCATGAATTTGGCAAATCATTGTTCTAACTTCCATGCAAGCATGGATCTAGACTTAAACTCTTTTCTATCATCATCAAAATATGGATTTGAGCTCTATAGCTTCAAAAGTCCTGCAACCAAGTTCCATAATCCTATAATTCATGGATGCATGTCTAAAATAACTACCAATTCTACATGTTTAACATGTTTCAAGCTCAAATGTACATAATCATGGTGAATGCATACATGCATGTATATACAAACTTTAATTTCATTATATTCAACTCAAGTCTCATTCTTAGCTTCGTTTTGTTTTTTGAATTCACATAACCATGATCTTGAACACATAAATTAGAGTTTAATTACTCGCTTAAAGCTTCAATTCTTCCAAATTTAACTAATCTGTTGAGCCTAGCTTCCAAATTCCCAAGCTTTGAGCCAAAATTCACAACTTGTGCCCTCTCTCTCTCTCTATAGAACCATCCATCTCTCTCTCTCTAGGGTGTAATTCAGCCAAGTATAAGAAATGGGGTCAATTATGAGCTCATATATTAGTCTCCCATGCATTTATAAGCTAGACTAACCAATATTACTACTCCGAACTTAGTATTAATCAATTAGGCTCAATTAATCATTAAATTAATCTAATTATTTTGATTAGAATCAATTTTTAATTAAATCTCACCGCAGGCTCTAAAAATCATGCTAATCTCAAAACTATGGTCAATTTCTATTTTTGTCGCCTTCACGGCCTTCAATTCAATCTTATAACAGAAAATCAAACAGATTTTTCTACATTGAACAGATCAAAATTAAAAAACACATATAATCATATAATTGGCACTCAAAATCATATCAGGCACATACTCACAATCATAAATAAGATTAATTAACATAACACAGAACAGGGTTGTCACAAATGGGCAGGAAGTTGGATAATTGCCAAGTAATTCACGATGTAAGCAAACCACAGAGGATTTACTTGTGACACAGCCAAAAGTTGCTCATCTGGAAATG